AATAAAGTTAATATGTTAATTGTCTTGTAATAAAATTTTCAAAACTGGCCAATACTTTTTATACCCCCCTGTATATATATATTTTAAGTAATTTTTTCGCTTCAACTTACAAAGGCATATTTTTGGGCGGTTTTCTATTAAACGAACATAGTAAAATCATATAATCCGTAACGTGATTTTAATAGCTTACCTCTCATTTATTTAATTCTATGTAAATGCTTTTTCATAGCATATCGAAGATCGTTTTAATTGCAAAAAAATTTCAAACGTTCACTACAATGAGGATTTCAAACTAAAATTGACATTTGATTGTTTTGCTTCTTTCATAAAAAATTTTAATCGAAAACTTTCATTATTCTTAAATTAGAAAAAGGTCATCTGCGTAAAGAATTAACCTACATCGGAATGGCTAAAAAGTACAAAACCTTATTATTGTTCTTGTTTTCTTTTAAAACTATATACAAAACTAATTATTTAAAAATAAAATAGTCTTAAATCAATAAAGCTATAATAATAAATTCACAGCGGAGGAGAGTTCCGTTTATACAAAGTCCTTTTTCAAACCAATTATATCTTGAAATTGTTTATATTTTGATATATGATGTTTGTGATAAACATAAAAACTACTACAGTTATGGTTTTATTTTAAGCCTTAAACAAAAGCAAATATAACTATTCATATAAGTTAATTAGATCAAAAGCGATCGAATCTGTAAAAAAATTTTTTTCGATTTTTTTAATTGTTTTTAAATATAAAAATAAAAATAAAAATAAGGAAACTAAGGAAACAATTATCTATAACTTAACTAAAGCATACCAAAGCTGAAAGAAAAGGAAAAAACTAATAAGAAATTATAAAATAAAATAAAATAAAACAAAAATCAATAAAACAATAAAAATAATAATAAAAAAAAAAAAAGATTTACTTACGACGACGAAAAAAAAATTAATTAAAAAGCAACCAATACAAAATTTAATCGATTGTAAAGAAAAAAAAATACAAAAAAATTGTTGCGATTCATAGCTCGAAGCGATTTAATGTTAACTAAAAAAAATATTTTTTAAGTTTCCTTTAGAAATAGGAATCAGTTCGGATTTTCAAAGTTTAATATATCTTTGATAAAAGACAAATTCGTCAATAATCATCTGGAAATTAATTGTTTGGCATATTAAGTTTAAGTACGTTTCAATTGCTCACAGTAGTCATTGGTATACCATAGCTTTAAGATTTCTTATTCCGACGTTTAATTTTTTAATTTTTCGTAAAAATTTTTAGTTTGATAAATCAAAAAATCGTATTAAGTTAAGACAATTATTAATTTAGGAGCGGTTCACGCTGTGTTATCTTCATCATTTATATAATTCAACAAGAATAAAATATATTTTCGTAAACTTTTGAATTAACAATAAGTTTATTAAAATATTTTATATGATTACATAGAAGAATTTTAATTTTTTTCATCCCGTTTCTTAATTTTTCTATTCTAATTTTTTCAACCTTATATTTCCATCCTTTATAATCCCTTAAACCAACGTTCATATAATTGACATCAAAAATGAGTTAATCATTCATTCAAAATCTGGAATACGAAAGACCGAATTGGGATATTTGAACTTCATCGATGTAGTTCCTCACCTTAGTGTGAATGCAAAAATAATCAACAATCTCATATAATTTGCTCCTCTGCAAACTCTTTCAAGACGTCAAAAGCAACATCAAAATTCTTTGTAATGACAATTCCAATTGATAACTTTTTCAAATCGATCTCCTGCACGTGATCAAGAAAGTTTCTCATGAAGATCGGATCGATTGAAAGAAACAAGTTCATTCAAATATTATATTTTAATGAACTCAAGTGATTTGATAATACGGGACCCAACTCTTCCAGAAGTTTTGAACTGATCAATATACAAGATATATTTAATAAAATTTTAAGGGAAAGGTATTCGAGATGTGCGCTGATGCTAGTAAATAACTCACATATTTGGGGATATTAGGAAGTATCAATACTAGGAATTTGAACTTTATATAGTACTTAATAACATTCTCAAAAGCATTTCTTTCATCGTGGTAAATGATAATTCGATGACCAAATTCTCTACATGAGAACCAATTTTTTGTAACAATAAGGAATATTCCGTGAGTTTGCCAATTATTCTCAAGGACCTAACTTTTAATGAAGTGGGATTATCAATTAACAGTTGATAAATTTGATCTTTTAATCCATCACAATGACGGAATAAGAGGTAATGTAAGCTGGTGAAAGAGTTGAGCGCATCAAATGATGTCACTTATTTAATTAAATTCACAGTTGATAAACTTGATTGAATTTGGAAGTTCTAAAACATTGCTTAATGGCATTCAATATTTGAGCGTTCATCTGTATTTCTATAAGGGTAAAAGATAAAAGTTGTTGTGATGTAATAATAGCCGGCAGATTGCCGTTATAATCAGAAAATTCAATGGAAGGTGCTAACGTTGATAAAGTCAGCACGAATTCTTGAATATTCAAATGATCAGTTCCACTTAGGGCAATTTTAAGCTTTTCAATAATTGATATTAACTTTGAACTATGAAAAATTATTTCAAACAATTCGTGTAAAAATTTTTCACAAAAAACACTGCTTTTCATACTTAAACTACTTAAAGTAGCATCACTTTCTACAAATCAGGACAAACCCTTTTATTTTGTTACTATATTCAGTTCACGAGGTTGTGTAGGGTGACGAATCCAATTATAGTGGTGCAGTTCTAATTGAGATAATACAATGTTTTGATGAAAGTGTGGTACTTAAATAAAGGATTTAGATCCTTTGACTTAGTAGTAATCCCAATATCTTAAAATTTTCTTTAACGTCATCACCAAGAAAATATGAAGAAATATCCATAAAACCATAAGTTCCTCGACTTAAATTTCGATTGACTAGAGCGTATGAATATATCGAATTAGTAAATTTTTTACTATATAATAAGTTAACTCAGGTAATTCTCCGTTAAATAATTTATGGTTTTGAAAGGAAGGATTTATTGTATACTTTTTTGTTACACCATGCTACACCATGTTAAAATATATGACTGTATAGGAGGGGATCGTTCCTTCATGTAAAAATCCAGCATATACATTTAATAAACGGCAAGATAATTTGAAAGAATATGCTGATGCCCCATATATGCCTCATCTTATAGCATCAGCCCATAATGCAATTACAAGTGTTCTCCAAGAAGAGCTATATAGAAAGGATCAAATAAAATCAGTATTAGTTGTAAAAGTCACATATGTAAAATATAAATATAAAGGAATGGGTGATATTAGCGACCCAGCAAACTATAAAACCAACTATCATCACCCATATCATAGAGGCTCAATATGCGAAATCCTTTCCGAGAGATATATAGATAAGCACATAACTCTTTCTGGAGTAGAAATCAATAAAAAGATCAAATCATACCTAAAAGAAGAGTCAGGTAAGATCCTTCTCCAGATTGAAATGGTATTAATTAATTCTTACACTCTCCATCATGCTCATGGAGGATCATACATCCCCACTCCCAAAAAGCTCGCCAATAAAAAATGAACTATCAATCCAGATAATTCAGATATTATTGATCCGGTTACAGGCAAACCAACAGATAATTGTCTTTGGAGAGCATTAGAATGTTATTTCACATATCAAGATGGAATTATAGACCATCTTGGTAGATGCATATATCAGGAAAAAAGTTTTCAAAAATACTTAGATGTCGTCAAGCTAGATGGTATCCCAATGCCCACACCAATCTGCCCACGAATATTTAATAAGATAGAGGAGATGAATCCTGATATCTCCATTAATGTTTGGGAATGGAATGAGAAAACAG